TTGAATGCAAGTGCACTGCAGGGTCTCCCTGGCCCCGCCGGCTTCCCGCCCCTTCTCCAGGCCTGGCCCCTGCTCCCTCCCCCCTTCTTCCCTCCCCCATCCTCACTCACGCTGGAGGGAGAAGGTTGGGGTGCACGGGAGGTGGCTGGAAAAAAAGAAGCCCCACAGGGAGCGTAGGACCAGCAGGGGACTCGCGCTGGGAAGGAGTTTGGGTGCAGGGCTTTTTTTTTTTTTTTTAAAGGTACAAGAGCTCTGGGACTCTTGTACTTTTCAAAGGTTCAGGTGCTGATCCCACTTCCCTGGGGGGCTTCCACTTTTGAACTGTAGCAAGAGCCTGGGATGGCTCTTGCTACAGTTCAAAGGCGGAAGCACCCTTGTAAACTAATCGAATAGTCGATGGAAAACCCATCGACTATTCGATTGTTAATCTAAATTTAAAATCCCTAATGAACATTATCTCCTCTACCCCCCAGCTTACTACTTAAAACAATTAGAATATCTGATAACAATGGCAAATCTCTTGAAATAAAGAGAAACACAGTAAATATTAGAGCTTGTAAGTTATGAACAACCAGAAATAAACACAGAGCCATCAGTTTGCTAACAATCAGTTCCTTGGGCAAAATTGATACCACAGGTATAAATATCCAGTTCAATTCCTTTGAGATAAGACGAGTAAGAATAACAGGCATTTGTTGAAAAATTATCTGAACTCTAGTGTGCCTTCAGAGGAAACAAGGGGTAAGAGAGAGGTTAGAGATTTTCTATGTCTACAGCAAGAACTAGTTACCTTTTAAACTCATCATGATAGAATTCAGATTTGCAGGACCTGTGCATGCCGTGATGGGGGGGGAAGTGAGTGCATGAGGGGGGCAGACTGAGGACAGAGGCGTCAGCGGTGTTACTGGGCATGCTCAGAACAAGCCACGCACCAAATGTCAGCGAAGGAATGAAGAGCATTTTCTTAGTCTCTTTCTGCACCGTTTATGGACATGAACATACTCCCTCCCCCTCCCCTCCCCAATCCTTTAGTCATGTCTTTTCCAAGCGGAAAACTTGGCTGTGCCTCAGTTTCCCCACTTTGCTTTGCC